GAAAATTTTGTCTATCAAACACTACAAAAGTTGAAAAATCGAAAAAAAATTCCATTTTTATGAAAAATATGGTGTATCAAACGGAGACTAAATGAAATTTTATTATTTTTTATTTAATACACAAATTATTTTTATTTTTACTTTTAAAATATCAATGGGCTTGATCGGTTAACTGTTTGGCCCAAATAGTATAACTGATCAGACCGATATTTACATCTATAGGCCCGTTAATCGGTCCACTTGAACAACGGGCCTATTTGTGGGCCATTTTAACCGACCCGATCTTCTGGTGGGCCATGTTGGACCCACCTGATTTGACACGATTGGATCACTTCATTTTAAATAGAATACTAAGACGAGTCATGCTACTTTTACATTCTTGGTATATAATCTTGTACATATCCCCCTCACATGGGGGCGGGGCCAGTGATTGTGGGCCCCACGCGGGCCCCACCCCCATGTGAGGGGGATGTGTACAAGATTGTGTACAAAGGATGTACACTCATCAGTAGTGTACTAAGACTTGCTATGTTATCATAACCCAAAAAGGCTCAAATGGTCAATTTGATTTCTCTAAAGCTCAAATTGTTGGAAATATAGTTCGTTAATTTGGCGAAACTAATTTCTACAAATTGGATCATACTAGATGTTTGATTCTAATTTAATCAAACAAAGTTCAAGTGAAATACATTTATTTAGATGATTAGATCCGTTTCTTGTCCCGTTCTTGCTTATGGCATGCATTATGTCTCTATTCTTGTTTTGGCTCGTTTGTACATATTGAATATTCAGTTCAACGAGCTCTCGAGTATTCCTACTTTGAATCTTTGTCATTTTTAATATTTTCAAGGATTTGACTATACCTACTTCGCTAGATGAGCCTAGCCAAGTCAGTTTAAGTCCAAACATTTTATTTAAAGCTCATGTAGTATTTTTCTTTTCTAAAGAGTAATGTGATTGATTTTAATTGAGAATTAATTATACTAAAAGTAAAAATTCAGGTGTTTGTGTGGAGTGTACGTATGGATTTATAAGAGATTAGAAACGTATTTTTATTTTGAATATTATCATGGTTAGGATGGTTGAATAATGTTATATAGCACTAATGTGCAAGTGGTTAGTCCTTTACAATATTATGCCCATGTTTGGTACCAATTAAAATCTAAATTTTAATTTAGGTCAAAATCAACAATTCATTTCAGCCACATAGTTTATAGGTCCCATAACTTTTCAATTACACATTTCATCAACTTCTAAATCAACTAAAAATCTGATTTTAATCCCCACCAAATAAGGCTATATAGTTTTTTTACTTGTAATCGCAGTGTTTCATACCATAAATGGGAAAAAAATGGAGCACACTTACCATATACAGTTTGTGGAAGAGAGCCTCGAATATGAGCTACAAAAATTTGATGGAAGATCATCATTTTCTTCGTACCTGTCATCTTCATCTTTGTGGATTTTCGTAGGTTCCATAATGGATGATAAAATGAAGAGTAACCGACTTTTTTGATTTTGAAGGGAAAATGGGTAACGCCCAAATTGCCTTTGTCGGTTTGGTGAAAATTATTAAATTTTTTCATTTTTGGTCAACTAACGATTTTGGTAGTCAAATAGACGTAAATTATCAATTTGGACTGGACTTACGATTTTTTTAAAGATTTGATACCTCAGGTGGCACAAATGAAAGGTTTAGACAAAGTTTACAGTTAAATGAAAAGTTTGGTACCTTGGCTGCAATTTTTCCTTTTTATAATTAATAATTAACATAAATAAATGAGAAGGGAGATGTAGGACTACTTTGTGTTAGTACATACATTATGTAATAAACATAATTAAGATTATTATAGATATGAAAACCAACCTTTCTTATTTTAGAACTGTTATCAATGAAAGCAATTAGTTGTGGACTAAAGGTAATAACTCTTATCAATGAAAGCAATTTGTCGTGGGCTATGTTTCTCATAAATCGAAAATAACTTAGATGATGCTTATGTATGTGAATGTATTCATGTTTGGTATTGGAGGTTTGGAGAAGTTGATCTGCGTAAGACAAATTTAAGAAAAAAATGGTTGTTTTGGTCTTCGGCGAATTTTTTTATTATGCTAAAAAGGATAATTTAGTTCTTTTTTCTCTCTATTTTATTTTTTGAATTCTTTTAGCAATGTCCATCTAAATGATAAACATAAGTTACTTATAAGTTGATGAATCTTGTGAATTTTTTTATTTTTGGTGATTAGTTAAGTTTGGTTTGCATTTCAATTTAATTTCTAATATCGTGAATATAATTGGATGAATTTTCTACTTTAGATTTATATATTACCACTAATAATTTTAATTGTATAATACATCCGTTTGTGGGTGTCCTAAACACGTGGTAGCCTGCCAGTATTGTTGACTCATCATATTCATGCTAAATTGTATAATACATCCGTTTGGGGGTGTCCTAAACACGTGGTAGCCTGACAGTATTGTTGACTCATCATATTCATGCAAATATGCATTATTCTTTATTCGTAGTTATGAATTTGTGGGGCCATCTTTGGTTGGACATTTATATGCCGATCTCTATCCACCATTGTAACTCATTTTTGGCTTGACGAATTCTATTTTAATATTTTTAATTTTATGATTTTTATTTAGTTGTTTTATTATTTATTAACCTATGATTTAATAATTATTTTTAGGCGAGATGAGTGGACATTAGCATAAATGCAATTATGTTGAACTTTATCGATTAGGATTTTGTTGAAACATAAACAACAATCACTTTATATCATTGTTCTAAAAAACGCGAAAATGCGCCGTTTAGGCGCGACGCGCGACCAAAACGCGTCGAATTAGGGAAATGCGGGAAAAATGCGTTTTCCAATTAAAAGGCGCGCCTAATGCGCGCGTAGGCGTGCCTAGGCGCGCATTAGTCCGTCTAATCCTTTTTTTTTTAAATCTTTTTTTTTATATATTAAAAAATCTATTTTTTTATATAAAAATATATTTAATGCCTTAAAAATACAAAACGCATTATGACGCTTAATCTTCGCATTGACACGCCTAAACTTGTGATTCTTGATTATCTACCTCGACGTTTCGCTACGCATTACGCATTTTAGAAAACTGCTTTATATTGGTTTTTGACTGATTTTTATATTAAATAAAATTTGAAGTGTTAATTCTGTATCATATTGTTATCTGAGCACAATTACATTCTTGATAAAGACATGTGTTTTATGATATTATGTTTGTATGATATGTTCTATATTTGATAAATGATTTTTTTCAACATTGATAAATAAATTACTAAACTAACTTATCAACGATTGATTTTTTTTGGTATACTAGAAACATCACAGATGAATACATCACCGTTGAAAACACTAATAGAAACGAGGTCAATAGATAAAAAAAAATGAGTCAGGTCGTCAATTTAATTTGAAAAATATTAGGCCCCGTTCTCTTCGTCGTTTTCAAGCCATTTTCTGTTTTCGATTTTTCAAAACACAAAAAACGCGTCATGTGCTGTTAGTTGACGACGTCACGACGTCGTTCGTGAATTAAGACGACGCCTTCGTCGATTGGCATTCCCTCCAAATCAACCGGTATGTTGTTGCTTCACTATAAGTAATGTTATCTAATAGTTTCCTGAAAAAAATTGAACTGTCTAGAGTAGGGGCGGTGGCTAGAAAATTATTCTAGGATGGAGTTTGTCAGTTGGAATCACTAGTAGTGTGGGTGTGACCCTGTGGATTAGTTTTGAGCACAATCTAAAACCGAAGCCGACCAAGTCGATTTGGGTAAATTCCACCTGAATGCCAAATTTTGGAGTGCGTTGATGAGAGCATGGAAGGTATAGAGTTGAATAATTGGGAAATTGGGATCATGGTTTAATGGGCTGGGATTAGGATATAAAACTTGGTCGACCCAATTGGCTTGAAACGGTCCATCTTATTTTAAACGTCTAGTCTAACTTATACAAAATTAGTAGAATTGAAGAATTATGTTACAAAATCAGCACAAAAAAACCCGCAGAAATGAGCAGGATATGAGTTGTTGCATGAATTTTCAGTTTGGGTGGTTTTCAATTTGTCGTTTGAAGCCCTCTGTTTATTTTGTGATGTTTTGATTGATGAAGAACATTTTACAGTTCTCCGTGTTTGATTTGGACTGCTTGTCTATCAACACTTTTGTAATGACGTTCTTCTGCTGATTTGAACAATCTCCATTTACATTTATTCTGTTTTTAATGCTGTAAACTGCTACTCATAGACACGATGAAGGAGAAAATGAATAGTTTTATTACAACCTGTTCAACTTACCCAATTGAATGCTAAATTCTAACTGCCAATTACTTATTACTGAGACATTCATTGAACTTGAGTATAAATATATGTTCATACACACACCAGGGAAATCAAAACCATGGTTTTTGCATTTACTAAGTTTGGGCTGAAGTTGGGCAGCAGCTTTAAACGTCCTGAATGTGCTGCTGAGAAGTTGTAAATGTGTTGTAATTGGTTTTGGAGAAACGCTTATTGTGATGTGCAAAAGGTTCAATCTCATGATGAAAAAGTGAAGAATTTTGAGAGATATAACAAGACAATAGAGAAGGTGAGTTCTCATTCTGGGGAAAGTGATGAAGAATCCGTAGATGCACTTGATACATTCTCGAGAAGAGAATTAGTTTTTTTGATTTTTAGCACGAGTGGTTTAAGTTTATTTTCCTCAATCTCATTTTTATAATCCAACNATTTCAAAGTAAACGCGTTTTCAAGTTTTCTATTTTGAGAAACAATTTTTCAAAATGACAAAGAGAACGAATTTTCAACAATTCCAAAACAGACAATCAAAACAGAAAATACAAAATGAATTCAAAACTCAAAACACAAAATTGAAACACGAAGAGAATGGCCCCTTAACTTTTTTCGTTTCGTTAATTGTTAGTGTATATTTTTTGTTGTCATATTTTAAATTTATTTTCATACTTGTAGGATTGATGTGGCTAAACAAAAATTACGATTATATATTTATAAGACAACTGAATGCACTTGAAAAAGAGTGGATTATAAAAGTATTCATACTTCGAAAATGTTTCTTTGAGATCTACAACAATAAGAACTGTCCAGTTGAAATTTTAAAACTAATTTTGTATGATTGGGAGGTATTATATAATATTAGAATTAGCCAATACTTTTCTTATAGATGTTTCACTATTAAACTATTAAGTTATTTTTTCTATAATATTTTTAGGGAAGTAATTTTCAAGCCAAGTTGTTTAAGGACACAATCAAAAAGTACTTTTCCATGCTTGAGAAAGGAAAAACATACCGACTTCAAAATGGAAAAATATGAGTAATCAACCCTTATTCAACATTTTCACATTATATACATAATTTTATAAGCACTTTTTTTTTTGATAAACAAAGCACATTTCATTAAAATAACTTTGAGAGAGTTACATCAATGCATCATGCTCAATAATGTGTGAAACAAAGTTAGGAGGATCATTCCACCACACTACCAGGTCATTGAGATGCCATGAATTCCTAACTAGACAATGTGCAACTGAGTTAAATATGCGACTTGCATGCCTTACATCAATATTCGGTAATCTATTCACCAACTACCGAATCACACGTATCAAGTTCCTCCAAATGGGCAAAGATTCATCCTGTACTTTTGTCACTTCTTGAGCCACTAACAACGAATCACTTACTACTTGTAAATTCTGGATGAACAAAGGTAAGAAAATCTGTAAACCTCTTAGCATCGCTAGAAGTTCTACTTCCATTGGGTCCATACTACCCTTTTTTGGTTTACTTGCTGAGAGAATCATCTTACCTGTTGCATCCCGGAGAACCATCCCAGTCCCATATCTGCATTGATCCTCAAAAAATGCCCCATCAACATTAAACTTTAGGACCCTTTCCGGTGGAGGGCTCCACCCTTCTCTGCTATGGGTTCTTGCTGTTTCTGCTTCTATGCACATTTAAATTCACCAGCAATTGTTAGGGCATGATCAATAGCCATTCGTGGAGTAAATATCTTGTGTTCAAAAATGAACTGGTTCCTGATATACCACATTCCCCACATGCATAAGAATAGTTCTTCTAGCTCACCAGGAAAGTTCCTGTTTATTACTAGATTTACTATATATGCAATGTCCCGCTGCTCAGAATTATTTTTTAAGAAACTCAGCTTTGTTGAGAGCACATGTCCAATCCTAGAACAATATAATAATGCATGATTTATATCTTCTTCCTCTCTATTGCAGAATTTACATCTGGCATCTTCTACCACTTTCCTGGCCAGTAAATTTCTGAGTGTTGGCAACCCATTGTAGCAAACTCTCCATGCAAACACACTTATCTTATGGGGGATTTGCATTTTCCAAATTTTCTTCCACATTTTCCGTTGGTCCTCAGCACAGGACACCTCGCTCGCCGAGCTGCCTCAAACCATTGTTCTTCACAAACAATCTATAGCCACTTCGAACTGTATAGACACCATTCTTATCTGGTTCCCAAATCATAACATCCGGTCTATTATGTCCTCCTACTAATTGTATTTGGAATACTTCATAGGCATCTCTAGGGTGAAGCATTCTGAAAACCATCTCAATATCCCATTGACGAGTGTGCTCATCAATTAGTCGTGATACTGTCTAATCTCTTTGATCTACATTAATTCCATCTGGGCAGCTTAGTATCCGATGATTCGGTAACCAGTAATTAGTCCAAATGTTTATCTCCTTTCCATTACCGACTCGCCATCTACAGCCTTTAAATAGCAGTTGTTTTGCCTCCCAAATACCTCTCCACGCATATGATGGATTTGCTGACAATTTAGCATCTTTAAGGTGTCCATGAGGAAAATATTTAGCTTTGTATATCTTTTATAGTAGCGATCATTCCTCCTTCAAAATTCTCCAGCCTTATTTTGCTAAGAGAGCCATATCAAAAGCCTGAAGGTCCTTAAACCCCATTCCTCATCTTCCTTTAGTGTTACGTAACTTCTTCCACCCTATCCATCGTATTTTGTTTTTTTCCTTTCTTTGTCCCCACCAAAATTTTGCAATCATACTCTCCAGCTCTTTGCACAAAGATATTGGAAGCTTAAAACAACTCATTGTGTAAGTGGGGAATAGATAGCGCAACAGCTTTAACAAGAATTTCATAAACACTTTTAGTCATACTAGGTGCAAGCAACATGCAATGCACGTTTGCGTAGTTTATATTTAATAGTTTTGTTTAAAAATTAATTTGTTATTAATAAAGATGTAATTTTTTTGGTTAATTAAATAATTAATGATATAATGTTTATGTAATTGATAGATAATTAGATGTGTGATTTTGATGTTGTAATGTAAGTTGGTGAGATCGAAGAAAATAAGCAAAAGTTGACAAATTTGGAGAAAGTGCTAAATTGTAAGGGAT